TCAGCGATGTTCTCTTGGCTCCAAGGTGTGCAAAACTGAGAGCAGAGCAAAGCTGAAAACACCCAGATTTCCTATTTTGAGGTTGCAACCAGTGTTTGTGGTGACTTTTCCCTTGAGCTGTGCCAGAAACAAGTCCCTGGCTCTGGGAAGCCCTGAGTGGGTCAGGAGCCAACACACAGAGGACAATGACCTTACTGTCCCTGCTCTGGGACTGTGCTCTCTGTGGGTCTGGCTGAGAGCTGTGACCCTGTTGTGCTGCCCTGGGTGTGGGGAGCAATAGGTACTGCTGTCAGAGGGGCTCCTTTGGTGAATATTGGGGCTGAGCCCATAAGGGTGGTGGGCTGGGTTCTATCATGGGTTCACACCTGGTCCAGGTTGGGGACGTAGTTTTCTCCTGGGGCTGCTGGAAGCCCTGGCACTGCTTCCCTGGTGTACAGGGCTCTCTGCTCTCAGTGCTGCAGGCAGAGCCTGAAGCTCCACTGCAACAATCCATTTTTCTTCCCCTTCCCGCTCAGTTGCCAAGCCTGAACAAAACAGGCCCTGCCTCCACCCGAGACAGGCTGATTACGTCTGCCGGCAGCCTAAACAGATTATCCCTCCCGCCACGCGCTCGGAGCCAGGAGTCTCTCCCGGCGATGGATTCAGACTTCCCTTGGAGCAGGTTGGGGTGGGTGGGGACTGGCTGTGTGGGCATCCCAGCCCACCCAGGTGTCCAGCACCCCAGTGGGGATGTGGGTGCTCTGCCCTGGGGGTGTCAGGACCCTAAGAGGGTAAGTGGATGCTGGTACAGCTCTGCTGTTCCACCTTGTGCTGTGAGCTCCTGCAGACACCCAGCATGGTGCGGCTCTGCAGGGTGCTACTGAGAATCCTTCTTGGCTGTCTGGTCTGCACAGGGAATGAAGAGGTGATGGTACCACCAAAAACACAGCAGATGTGAAAGCTTGTGCAGCAGGCAGCTGGTTGGTGTCACAGCCCACTTCTAGCCCCGTGATCTGGTGCTCCATGGGCTGCCACGCTCCTGTGAGCCATCCTGCCCTCTGGAAGTAGGTGCCCTGGAGCCCTGGCGATGTGCAGGGGTTCCTGTGTCACCCTGAGCTTTGGGAAGTGCTGAGTGGCTCTGCACGTCCTTCGAGCCCAGTTCCCCGGCTGCTGGGAGTCGCATTCCCAGTGCTGGTGGAGCTGGTTGGGGTGGTTTGTCCATGCCTGGGCAGCATCAGCACAGCAGCCTGACAGCTTTGTGTAAACCCAGCTGGGGCCGCTTCCTTCTCTGCTTCCTCCCACCCGCCGTGCTGCCGGCGCTGGGCTGGAGGCAGCATCCTCCCCCTGGATACACCTTAGGCCTGTGGGCCGAGGGGATGAATGCAATGGCTGGGACAGCGACCTGAGAGGCAGGTGAGGGGCTGTGGCTGCTCCACAGCCCAGCTCCAGTGGCGGATCAAAGGTGGGATGGAGGACCTGTACACTCCCAGAGGTGTGACAGGAAGTGGAGAGGTGACGTGGGGTTGTTTCTGCCTGAGTCAGCTTCCACCAGTCCCACGGGATCAGATGGAACTGGGCATCACCCCACTCCACCCCAGCAGCCACCCTCCACTCTGCTTTCCATGGCATTTTGTGGCTCACCCTACGGCCTGGATAAAAGCAAAGCCATCCACCCAGTGCCCGAGTACCTCGTGTGGCTGCTACCTGTGGAGAAACTACCTGGAGCTGCCCCTCAGATATCCCTGGAGCTTCCCTGGGAACCCCAGGGTTGCTCTAATGCCATCCCTTAACTTGAGGTTGGACAGATCTGCTTGGAAGAGGGAATTTTTTTGCTCTGATCTCTTACTCAGTGCTGGGTGTTGCATTTTCCTCCTCTTGCTGAGATTTCCAGAGGAAGCCAAGCCGGTGTGAAGCAACGTGTGACTCCAGCTCCATCCTGGTGCTGCAGCACCCCCCGGACCTGCCTCCCACGTCGGGTTTATTTTAAACCTCGCTGCAGCAGGGCCATTCCAATGCAGGTGTGATGAGTTTACTTCAGACACTTCATGTTCTAATTCATATCCCTTTTATTTAGGCTTGTACCTCTCTGGGCATTTGCTTGGTTTTAGCAGGAGCTTGTTTTGGTTTGGCTTTAAAAAGCGCTGCTGTGTGTTCATCTGTTGATGGGTGGAACCAGGCTGCCCACGCTGCCTGGCTCTAATTCATACCTTTCAGCTATTTTGGTTTCAATATCTGAAATTGGATGCTTCTGCCAAATTAAGTGTAGCCCACTGGTGGTTTTTTTATGACGCTGGTGCAGAAATGACCATGCTCTATGTTAAGGGTGTGTATTTCAGGTGCTCAGTGCTTTATATTTAGGCAGTTGAGCCAAAATTGCAGTGGTTGAGGGCAAAATAATGTCTACTGGGGGGTGTGAGCCAGGCTGAGGTAGGGCGGGGCTTTCTGCCTGTGAGTCTGCTCGATGCTGGTGATGTCCTCTGTTTTGGTTTCATGGTTACCTCATCCCTGATGTGGCACTGGGACCTGCCTGCTGCCTGTCACAGGGGGGGCTGTGTGGGACTGGGTGTTGTGGGGTGCTCAGGGTGGTGTGGGATGGCCCTGTGGGAGGGCTACAGTGTTGTGGCTTTTGCTGGGGAGAGATTTTGCTCATGGGGCTTCGCTGGGTTGAACACTCAGCTGTGCCCAGGGGCAGTGCTGGGGCATGGAGGAGAGTATTGGGGGATGGAGGAGGGTTGAGCCCTGCAAGCAGCTTGGCTGCCTGTAGCATCACCAGCGTGCCACCTTGGCATGGTGGTGCCAAGTGTTGGGGATGCTGAGTCCTGCCATCGCTGACATCCTCTTGTTCCTGGGTAGTGGAGGTCACTTGAAAGATCTTCTCAAGCCCCAGAGCCGGTTGTTCAGGGCTCTCATGGTAATTTGGAGACCCCATTTCCTGTCACAGTGACCCACTGAAGGATCTCCAGTGGGCCGCCTTCAGTCAGTTATTTGCAGTTTTGCTTTTTGCCTGTAAAACGGGAGAGAAATTTGGGAAATTGGGCTCTTCCGAACTGACCGTGGCCACATGCCAGTGTGTGGTGGGGATCAGTGGGATTCCCCACTCCGAAGTCCTGCCGTCCCGTGGGATGGGCAGGGACGCGTCACGGGCGGCTCTGGGTGGGGGTGTGGGGCGCGGTGTGCCGGGGGAGTGGCAAACGGGGCTCACCTGCCCTCACCCGCCGGGCGCTGGCAGCGTGGGCGGCACGGAGCCGGGTGTGGAGCCAGTGCCGGGCGGCTGGAGGTGCCATGGGGGCCACGGGCGAGCAGGGCACCAGCATCCAGGTGAGCTGGACAGGGCTCACGGGGGTCTCGGGGCTCCTCACCAAACCAGGGGGGCTGCGGTGCCCGCGGGTGCCTTTCTGTGCCCCCAGCGGGGGCGAGGCTACCGCTGGTCGTGGGAACAGGCGGGTGCAGGGGTGCCCTGGGATGCAGGAAAGCAACTCCCCAAAGTTTGGATCCCGCTCCCAGCACTCCGTTTTCATTGATTTTGATCCTATTTAAAGGGGGAAGGAAGGAAGGTCTTCTCAAATCGTGTTTTCCCAGCTGCTGGCAGAGCAACACACCGAGCTGGTATGTCACGTTGTGGAGGGGGATAAGAGATTTTGTTATTTCTTTTCACTTTATAAACAGTAAAAGGGCTCCTCCGGCGTGTTTCCAGTTTGCTTACTCAGTGCTTCATGCATTTGACAGTTTCTGGTGCATAGGCAGTTTCTTCTATTGTTTGCAGGGATTTTTCCAGAGGGGAAACTTTTTTTTTAACATTACAAAACCACAGAAACTGGCAGGAGGAATCTAAGGGAGGTAACGAATTGGAAACAGTTTTAAACTTTAAGGAACAAGAAAGAAAAGAATGAAAGCAACAAGATGAACTGAATCATTTAGAGAGGAGCTGGGAACGTGTGTCCTTGTCGCTGTTTGGCTGGGCTGGGCTGGACGTGCGTGGATGTTTCGTGGTGGAAAGCAGAGTTCCCAGACCCAGGGGCTCCTGGAACTGGATCTGCCCTGGGTTTCCTCCCTCCTGGCCTGTCCTGGTATCTCTGTGAAGCCGCCTCACTGGTGTGGCAATGCCTTGCCACTCTTGCACCAGGATTTGGCCCCAGCCCTTGCCAGGTGTTGGCTCATAGTTTGCATCTTGACAGGCAGCAGGAGCGGTGCCTGTAGGACTTTGTGTGGGAGGACATTCCCAGTGCCTATCCCCATCCCACTGCTTGCCATGGCGTGGGCCTGCTTCGCCCTGGCCACTTCTGCATCTAAACCACTGGTGGAAGGAGCCTGGATATTCTTTTTTTCCACTGATAAACGGCAGTGCTGCAAGTTTCTTTCCGGGTATTCTTTCCCTTTCTCTTCCCGGCCGGCTGAATGAGCTGTTTTCCCTCCTCCCGGCTCTGACCTTCCTGTGTGCTCAGCCATGGGCTGCTGGCAGGGAGGAGCGGGCTGGCAGGGGCTGCCCTTGTGCAGGGAAGCAGGAGTTGGATGTGCACGGCACGGGAAGCGGCTGGGAGCTGGCGAACTGCCAGCGCTGGGTAGTTTTTCCTCTCTTAATTAACAAACGGAAAACACCGAGCTCTCCTTTGGAGTGTGTTATTGCTTTGGAGTAGAGGCACGCTGCCGATGGCGAGGGGAAGGACGGTGAGGACGGGCTCTGCAGCCTGGCAGTACCCGGGAGTTGGTGCTCTGGGCACGATGCCACGCAGGAGCAGCTGTGTTTGGAGTCTGTGCCTGGGGTTTTGCCTCCTCCCAAGTTCTCGTCTCAGTCCCCTTGGCACATGGCATGTGTCACATCACGCGTTGCCATCAGGCACCGTGTTCCCCGCACTGGGAAAGCTGAGATTGCGTGTGTGCAGGAGGCTGAGCTCACACAGCTGCCTTCGTGCTGAGTGCTGGTGCAGTTTCCCGTGGTCCATGACCATCGATTCCCTGTGGTGCTGATCCATGTTGAGCCGGTTTCCGCTGTGCCTGAGTGTTTCTCTGCTGTTTCTTTGCAGGCCAAACCCATTTATGGTGGCTGGCTGCTGCTGGCCCCGGAAGGAACGGACTTTGACAACCCTGTCCATCGCTCCCGGGTAAGTGAAGCTGAGACATCCTCTCCCCATGACGTGGGTAGGGGTGGCAGGAGGAGTAGCAAGGGACTGTCCCTGCCCACAGGGGTGGCTGTGACCCCGGGAGTGCCGCAGGCGCCTCCATGCACCCATCCCCTTGTGCAAACCAGGAAGCTGGAAGATGTTTCCTGCAGCAAGGCTTGAATGCCTCCTCTGGGATGCAAGGTTTCCTGTGCTGGGCAGCAGCCTGGGGCGCTGCAGGTGCTGGTCAGGCTCAGTCTGTGCGGTTTTATTGCTTGTTGCTGTTGCTTTTTGATGCTGCACTGGTTGGCCTGACACGTGTCGTGCTGTCAGGAAGGCTCTCAGGCCAGTGGGCTGTGGGGCTGTGCAGCTCTGACCCATGCTGGGACCGTCAGAAAGCTCCCAGTTTTCCTTTGGGGCTTGGAAACAACTGCTTTGTTTTCTGCAACTCATCATGGGCATGCCCAGAGCTCTGGAGGGAGGCTGCATCCCATCTCCTAATGTGGATATGCTTGTGGCAGGCAAGGAAGGGGCTGAGAGGTAGTTGCCATTTGCTATAACTCTGCAGAGCTCTGAAGCCAAGTGTTGGCAGCAGGGACCTGCAGACAGAGCAGGACACACTCAGCTCCTTCCCAAAGGGGTTTGCTCATGGCTGGCACAAACACCAGCATCATGTGGGGTCGAAGCATTGCCCACTTTCCTGCCCTGGGGGGTGTGAGGCCCAGAAGGATGTGACCAAGCCAGTGTCCTTTCTCTGCTGGCTTGTGATGAGCACTTTCAGCCTGTCCCCCAGCTTGTCTTTCACGGAACTTGCTGCTGGGGCTGCCAGGATAGGGCTGTCTTGTGCGTGGGAGGGATGGCAATGGTCCCTGAACCCTCTGTCATGCAGCCAAAATGCTCTCAGAGCTGTTGGTAATAAAAAAAATCGCTCCCGAGTGAGCAAGAATTGGGTTCTGAGTTCAGCTTGGGGTATATGGGTCATTATTTGGAGTCACAGCTAGTACCAGGCTTGCTGGCCCACCATTAAGGGGACGTGAGACCCTAGTTCCCTCCAGGCTCTAGGCTGCCTGCTCATCTGGGGCTTGTGGAAGTGCACAGGGCCCTTGGTAGTTTTGCTTGTCCCAGAGCACTCTGGACTTTGCCCAAAGGGCTGAGAAAAGCAAGATAAGAATTGCTGCACTGGGGCTATGAATCCAGGACCTTTTTTATTTCAGCTTGCTGAACCAGTTTTTGCTCTTGGCTGAAAACAACCTGGCACACATGAAAAAAGCAGTTTTCCAGCCAGATCAGTTCTCCAATCTGGTTTGCTGTGCAGCTGCAGAAACAGCAGTGCCAGCGTGGTGCCAGGACCGCCTGGGCAGTGCCACCCTGGAGGTACTGCCACCATCCAAATCGAGCTCACGCACTGCTGGGGGACGTCTGACATGACACGCTGTCACCCTCCAGCACTGGGTGCTGGAATAGATGATGCAGGATGAAGCTGAGGGCTGGGAGCAGTTACTTTGGGAATCCTTCTGCTGTCCCTGGTATGCCTAGCATGAAGCTGAGTCAGGAGAGGTTCAGATTAGATATGAGGGAAAGGTTTTTTGCCTGGTGGGTGGTTGAGCACTGGAACAGGCTACTCAGGGCAGTGGTCACAGCCCCAAGCCTGCTCGAGTCCAAGAAGTGTTTTGACAACGCTTCAGGCATGTGGTGGGATTGTTGGGATGTCCTGTGGAGGGGCAGGAGTTCGACTCGATGATTCTGATGGGTCCCTTCCAACTCTATATATTCTGTGGTTCCTGCAGGTCTTGGGTGTCTTGGAGAGCAGCGACAGGGCTTGTGGATGTCTCTGCTGGGAGTGGAAGAGTCTTTTTCTTTAGTTATTTTTGTCCTCTGTATAGTTAAACCAGGGCAGTTTGGGGTCTGTCTGAATGCAGAGAGGAGCGGGGTGGGGAAGAAACCCCAAAACAACCTCCTTTGGGTGCCCACAAAGCCGGACAGTAAATTAGCAACGGGCAATGTGGGCCTGGTGCACGCAGACCCCCAGCTCCTGTGCAGCTCCAGGGACTGGTTGGCACTGCTGTGACCCAGCTCTCTGTCTTCTCTTGCAGAAATGGCAGCGCCGGTTCTTCATCCTCTACGAGCACGGGCTGCTGCGCTACGCCCTCGACGAGATGGTAAGTGCTGCCGGGCAGAGACACAGCCGTGTCCAGGATGTGGGGATCAGCCAGGGTTGTCTTCTGCCCTTGGAATGCTCTGCCAAGCTGGAGGAGAGTTGTGCTTGCTGGGTTTGGCTCAATGCCAGGCTAGGTTTGCGTGGGAGCTTGGTGGATGGTCTGCAGAGGGTGCTGGGTCCCGCCTGGTGTGGGATTGCTGGCAGGAAGCACTGGGGGAAACCCCAGTGTCATCCCCCCCGCCTCCTTCCTGCCGTGTTCCTTGGAGCCAGCTGGGTTTTGGTGGTGGTGAATCACCTTGGCAGTGTCCGGGAAGAAGGCCCTGCCTAGCGATGCCCGTGGAAAGTAGGTCAGCTGGAATGCCTTCCCACTGCTTGCCCGCCCCGGAGCTGCAGCATGCCACCAGCACTGCTCCTGTTGGAGAAACAGAGGGAGGATCAAAGGAAGGGAAACCCCTCCACAGCGAGCTGCAGAGTGGGGCTGAAGAACCCAGCGTGTCAACCCTGCCCTGACCACCCTGGGCTGCTGATTTATCCTCCTGGCTACAGCAAGCCTGTGGGAGGGTGCCTGAGGTTGTGTATTCTGGCATGGTGGGTACCCATGTGCTGGGATCCACCTGGGCAGGAGGTTCACAAAGCCACTGGGCACAGTGCAACTGTGGAACAGGGACATACAGAAACCTGTGTCTGTGGCGGGGAGGTTCCCTACAAGGTCAGTGTGCCTTGGTCCTCCTCCAATGCCTCCTGCGAGGGCAGGGGATGGGGAGGCACGGCAAGTGCGGCTCAAATTTCATGCCGTGTGTTTGTTTGTATTTTCACTTGGGGTTGGTCCAAGTGCCCTAAATAATTTAAATGTCTTCCGTAGGAGTGGGGGAGGCTTTAATACATTTTCAGTGTCAGCAACCTGGCTCTGCACTGGGCTGGTGTTTTCTGTCCTAACCCTGATAGGACAGTGGTTTGTGTCTGGCTGGAGCAGGGAGATGCCCCAATGTGAGGCAGAGGTACAAGGATGCTGGGAAACACAACCTGGGATTTTTTTTGCCTCTTTGCATCCTGAGGAGCTTGACCTGCCCCAGATTCTGCTGCATCTGGGCAGAAGCACCTGGGCAGTGCCCCAGCCCTGTGCACCCTAGGGGACTGTTGCCAGAGAGTATGCAGAGGACAGCAGGAGCATCCTGTGGTTCTCCAGGCGTCTCTTGGGCTTTTTCCCTTGAGAAGGGAGAAAGTGGAAAAATACAAACAAAAAGGGAATGTGCACATGTGCAGCGTGGGATGGTGTCCTGGACAGTGTGACATCCCACCGTGCTGGCACCTGGACTTGCTGCCCCCATGGCCCTTTGTGGTGCCACTGGAGGTGGTCAGGAGAGTCTGGCCTTGCCATAGCTGAAGGAGACAGTCACGGATCCTTCCTCCTCATTGGAGTCTGACACATGGTGTAAAAATACTCTCCTGACCTTTCTGTGGAGCACGTCCCTGCGTGGGATCTGTGCTGCTGCCTGCACCAGCTCTGCTGTCACCACCCCACAGCATCAGGCAGTGATGGCTGAGTGTTAGGGGTCACTGGAGGGGACTGGTGGCACTCAGGTCAGGCTGTGGGGGATGTGAGGAGCCAGTCCTGTGCCCCAACACCTCAGGCATTGCTGCAGAGCACTGATTCCTCCCCTGAGGTGTTCTGCTTCCTGCCTGTGGCTCTCCACTCCTCCAACTGTGCCGGCTCCTTGCCCACCACCTCCGCAGGCTGGGAAGGAGTAACAGGGCTGGGGCCTCACCCAGGGGGACACTGTTTTTTCCGTGAGGGATCCACTTTGCAACCCATGCAAATGGGATGATCTACCCCCAGTGTGCCCCAGTTCCCCTCAGGAGCTGAGTGGGGGTCCCGTGGGGGCCTCGGTGCGGAGCAGCCTCCGCAGCGTGCGGTAGCTGGGCAGCAGCTGGCCAGAGACCTCCCAGGCAGTTCCAGGCTGGGATTGAATGGCTCTGCCTTGAACCTTTTAGACATTAATTTTGTGGGTTTGGCAATTTCTGCTGTTATTAAAAATGGGATTGGAGGGAGGGGTGAGCTTGGGAGGGCAGTCCAGGGCTGGTGATGGTGGTGGAGATGCTCCTATGCCTGCCCAGGGAGACTCTGCTCCCTGCTCCCAGCAGGTTGGAGAGCAGTGGGGTGTGGAGGGGCGGCTCAAAGGCACAAGCTGGGGAGACCTCAGGGGTCCCAAAAGATGTCAGTGCTGCAGAACAGAGCAGCCTTGGGCACAGGGGCCTTTTGCCATGGGGTGGGTCAAGTTTGGTGTTGGTTTGGAGCATTTTGGGCATGAAAGGTGGGACAAGCAGGCACCAACCACCCCACTGGCATCCAGCTCCCTCCTGAGACTTGAGCTGATCCCAAGTCTATGCTCAGGCTCAGCCTCCTTCTTTCTGTATGTCCACCCTTCTGTCTGTCCTTTCTCTACCATATTTCTAGTCTGAAAACTCAAACTTCTGCACGATGGGGAGGATGTGCACAGACCTTTATCCCCTTGAACTAGGCTGAGCTGCCAGACTCTCTCTCTGGGTCTCCCTCTTTCTGCTGCATGCAGTTGCTAGCACCCAGAGCCTGCCTGGCCCCTGGGAATGCCAAGCAGATCACATCCCCTTCCCCTCCATGGGGAGTGTGCCAGCAGCCGTTCCCAGCTCTGCTGAGCCCTGGCTAAGCCGAGCCTGCTCAGACGTGCAGAAATTCCTCCCTCCCAGCCGTGGGTGGATATGGAGGTTGTCTGATCACTCAGGGTTGCCTTCCCACGCTGAACCCCCGCAATTACCCCTCAGCACTGACTTGCTCCTGCTGTTTGATAAACCTTCATGCTGGATGATGACAGGGGTTGACGTTTTTGTGAAACAGCTGAAGCATCCAGCAAAGCCTGTCTTCCATTGAGGGAAGGCAGCAAAGAGGGTGACAGGAAGGCTGGGACAGGCTTGGGATTGAGCTGCTGTGTTGTGAGTGTCCAAGGACAAGTTTCAGTTCTCCTGGTAAAACACCCTGTGGTCCCCAGTGAAACCACAGCAGCTACTGCCACGGGAGAGCAGCCTGGCACCACGGTGCTGGGGTGGTTTGGAAGGTTTTGGTTGGGATATGGGAGCTGCCACAAGAGCAGTGCCGAGCTAAGGGGACGGAGCCAATGAGTGGCAAGTGCAGAGCTTCTGCCTCCTTTTGTTTTGATTGCTGCGATCTATAATTAGCGGTCGAGGTCTCTATAAATAGAGCCCTGCTGCGTGGGAACGTAGTGGAGAAGAGGCAGGAGGGGCTTTGTGGGGATGGAGAGCACTGCCTAATCCCTCCCTGGACCTGCAGGTGGGCCCATGGCCTTGGTGCTGCCTGGGGATGGATCCAGTCCTGTGGCTAGAGCAGGTCAGAGGAGAGGGTCTGGATCTCCAGCACAGCTTGTTAATTATTCATTACATGTCCACGGGCCAGGTCTTGTCTCTGTGCTTCAGTTTGCCCCTGTGCCACTTCTCTTGAGCTGGGATTTTTACTAGGTTGGCATTTTGCATCCTCCCTGGAGGTATTCTCCTGTCACTGCAGGCCTCCTTTCAGTCTGCCTGAGACTAATAATTGTGGGGTTTTTTTCCTTTGTGCATATGGTGGTTTGAAAGTAGGACAAAATTCAGGCTCACCTGGGAGCATCTCAAAGGTGTTGTGGATAACTAATGCCAAGTGAGAGCATCTTCTGGATGGGCTTTTCTGGTTGCCTTGCAGTGGTTCAGGAGGAGCATCCCTGGACATGGCATATCCTTCTCCCAACAAACTGGCCTCGCTCCATGTCTGGCACCTTCCAGCGTGGTAAAGTGTGAGGATGGGCTGTGAACCCTGATTCTACCCCTACCCCCTATTTGCTGGAGTCAAATTGCTTTCTAAAATTGGGAAGAGGTCTAAGAGGATGCTTAAACCACCTCAGTACCAGAGGTTACTGGGGTTGGGTGGTTGTGTTCTCTGTGGCAGCATTGCAGACTCTTCCTGGGCTCACAGCACAGTGGTCCTGCTCCTAAATCAGGAACTCAGATGGATCATAATATCATTAACCTCAGTACAATGAAACGGACATCCCTGCTCCAGCCTGTGATGGCAGGGAAGGAGGTCAGGAGGGAGCCAGGAACTGATGGGACTGGGGTGGGATGAAGAGCAAGGCCAGCCTGGCATCTGGGAATGGTTAGGGGAGCACTGGGACCCCTGGGATGGGTGTATAAATAGGAGAAGAGAGGCCAGCTCAGAGGTGGGAGGTCTGGCACCGCACAGGGGGCTGCAGGGTCACATCTGGAGCCCTGCTCGGCCCCAGGCCCCGCTCCTGGCCATGGAAACCTAAGGAATTGATAAATGGTTAAAAAAGGAGACAGATGTAAGCATTGGTGGCTGCTGGAGGGGGATCAGAGGGAAGGAGGGCTGTGTGCTCGTGATGCTGTGATCCACAGACCTGTGTAATTGTTTCCTAATTGACCCCCTCCAGAGTCCTCTTTATTTGGAGGAAAGGGGCATTTTAAAACGTCTCTGTCAGCAGAGCTGCACCGCGTTAATTTTCATCGTAGTTGCCTCCTTTGTCATCTGTATTGTTTTAAGAAGCCAAGAACCCGTGTGTGTGTTTTTCTCCTCCTTTTCAGATCAAAGCAGTTTATTTCAGTTTTGGCACAGAATGGAAATTCATTGGCAGGGATTAGAAACGGACCTTAAACATCCTGGCCTCTCTGTCCTTACTTTTTCCACAGGTTTTGCCATTTAAGTGTTTCCAAGCTCTCCCTGCCCCCTCCTCTGCTGGAGCACCAGGCTTTACAAACCCTATTCCCCTCGTCCCCAGTGGTTTCCCCCCATGGACATAATTTTGCCAGTGCCTCTGTTTGCCAGATCAAGACTTTCAGTTTCTGTTTAGCATAAAAAGCTTTTGGCTTGAATCACAGTATGTTTGAAATTTAAAGCAATCTGAGACAGAAAGGCTGGAGGGGAGTGAATGTGCAAGACTTGGACAGTGGCAGGGACCCCCA